TCCTTTCTCCCAGTTATACCCCCTCACATTAAAAAAAAAAAGCCCTCTTTTTTAATCAATAAGCATAATTAAGCAAAAATAAACCTACACAGTAGGCATGTCCAAAAATGTGTGTGTTTGAATCATGAGTCTGTCACTTCCCTGTGAGAGGTAGGAAGGATTTTTTAAAATTAGACCTCTGGGGTTGTAGTTGGTAATTTCTTTTAAAGATTTACATATTTAAGCTGTTGTAGTCATTGTAATAAATGGTTCTGCTCACCTCACTCTGCATCAGTTCATGCAACTTCTCCTAAATGTCTCTTATTTTAAAAGTGCCCATATTTTTGGTAATTTTCTGTATAACAGTTTTAAAGTCATTTTAAAATCTTACTCCCTAATCGAATGTTTCTCAGAGAAGTTATCTCTAAAGTGAAATTTTCTTTTTTTGAACCTCCTTTTTTCTATAAATTGTCTTTAAGACATAGGAATCATTCTAGTTATTAGCAGCTGTGAGTGGCATAGAATCAAGAAGAGACTGGCTGCAGAACTTCTTTCTTTTGTCTCCACCATCTCAGTCATTAGAGGTTCTTAGCTTTGGAGTCTCTGATTCTCACTTATCCATATCCAGTCGGCCTCAAAGTCCTATCATTTCTACCTCTTTTTCATACTCAGATTCTTCCTTCCTAATTAAGCAACAAGCATTTATTAAGACATTGGATTAGCATTGGGGATACAATGACAACAAGCATTTATTAAGCACTTACTTAAACTGATTAAGCTAGACACTGTGCCTAGTTTTGGGAATATAAATAGAAAATCCCTGGCCTCAAAGAGTACGTACTATGGGGAGGAAGGCAATACCTAAAGGGGAGCAGATAGCAAGAGATAGGAGAAGTGGTAACGTGTGCAGCGTCTGGAGGGGGAGCCTGGAAAGGAGTAAATGAGTAAGGAGGGCTGGTGTGGACACCTCTTCAAAATGGAGGTCCTGAAAGGAACTCACCAGTGACAAGAGGGGGACACAAAGATGGTAGCATCTTCCAGGGCAAGAAGGCAATGAAGGCATTGTGGTATATAGTCTGGAGGTTGTGGAGCAAAACTGAAAGAATCCCTGATATTAGAGAATTTACATACTAAGTCTAGAGGGAAAGAGAGGTAAGTGTATACAAAATAAATAGATTTTGGTGGGGCATGCAATAGCAGCTGGGGGAGATCTGAAAAGGAAGGCCTTATATAAAAGATTGAGCTGAGTTTTGAAGATTACTTGTTCATTCTGTTGTAATAGCTTACTTACTGGTTTTCTTATTCTCCAGTATTTCCTCCAATCAGGTATTATTTGAATTTGTTTTCAGTAGCACCCAGTAGTCATAGCCAGTGCTTGAATTCTAATAAGTATTGGGCTGATGTAATTTCTGGCGCAGATTCATTCTGTGAATGACCATATGACAACTCTAACCTAGTCTTTATCTCAAGAATTCTTTGTTAAATCTCTTGAGAATTTATGTAAGGGCTAACTTCTAGATTTGAATGTTTTCCTTTCAGGAACAGTTCTAGGATTCTATCCACTTTCAGGACAGGATTGACCAGGAGTTTTCAATAGATAAGAGTTTATTGAGATTTTAGCAAAATATTAGACAAAGCTTCTCATGTTATTCTTGTGTACAAAATGGAGTATTGTGGGCTAGATAATATAATTAGGTGTTTTTGAACCTGGTTGTAATTAATAGCACAATGTCAATTTGAAAAGAATGCCCCTTTGCCATTTAAAATTTGTACCTTGGTTTAAGTAAATGGCCAGTCACATCTGCGAATGACATAAGCCAGAATGTAAAACTCACATGTTGGATGACAGGACCTCAAAATATCCTAATATATCAAAAATATCCATAGCCCAGTAAAATAAAATTTAATTCTTTTATTTAATAAAGTCTTATTTAAAAAAAAAAGGCCACCTTAGATACAAGATAGGGGAGGCGTAGTTAGACGGTATGGAAATTATCAGGGAGAAGCTTCTGGGATGAGAACTCACTATTTGACAAAAACTGTTGGGAAAACTGGAAAACAGTGTGGCAGAAACTAGGCATAGACCAACATCTTACACTGTATACTAGGATAAGGTCAAAATGGGTATGTGGCTTAGACATAAAGAGTGAAACTATAAACAAATTAAGAGAGCATGGAATAGTTTACCTGTCAGATTTATGGAGAAGGAAAGAATTTATGACCAAACCAGAGAGAGAGAACATTATGAACTGCAAAATGGATAATTTTGATTACATTAAATTAAAAAGTTTCCCACAAAGCCAATGCAGCCAAGATTAGAAGGGAAACAGAAAGCTAGCATTCTCCAACTGATAAATGGTCAATTTATCTTTTTTCATCTGAAGGCAGTTTTCGTTAGAAGAAATTAAAGCTATCTGTAGTCATATGAAAAAAAAATGCTCCAAGTCACTATTGATTAGAGAAATGCAAATTAATATAACTCTGAGGTACCACATCATACCTGTCAGATTGGCTGACATGACAAAACAGGAAAATGATAAATGTTGGAGAAGATGTGGGAAAATTGGAAAACTAATGCATTGTTGGTGGAGTTGTGAACTGATCCAACCATTCTGGAGAACAATTAGAACTCTGCCCAAAGGGCTATAAAAATGTGCATACCCTTTGATCCAGCAACACAATTACTAGGTCTGTATCCCAAAGAGATCATAAAAGAGGGAAAAGGACCCACATGTACAGAAGTATTGATAGCAGTTCTTTTTGTGGTGGCAAAGAATTGGAAATGGAGGGGATGCCCATCAATTGGGGAATGGCTGAACAAGTTGTGGTATACAAATGTAATGGAATACTATTGTTACATAAGAAATGGTGAGCAGGCAGATTTCAGAAAAACCTGGAAAGACTTGCATAAACTGCTGCTGAGAGAAGTGAACAGAAGAGAAGAACATTGTACACGGTAACAGCAACATTGTTCAATGACCAGCTTTGATAGATTTAGCTCCTCTCAGCAATGCAGCGATCTAAGACAATTCCAAAAGACTCATGATGGAAAATGCTATCCATATCCAGAGAAAGAACTATAGAGACTGAATGCAGCTCAAAGCATACTGTTTTCTCCTTTTTGTTGTTTTTTGTTTTTTCTTTTTCATGGTTTTTCCCTTTTGTTCTGATACTTCTTTCAACTAATGTGGAATTATGTTTTTTTAAAAAAGATTATCAGGGAAGAGGGAAGGGAGATAGACTATATTATCAATAGTGTTTTAAGACAGTCAAATAGGTACGTTCCATTCAGCTCTGAGTGCCGCATTTTAAGGATAATGTGGACAAACTAGAGAGGGACAAGTAGCAGAAAAATGCAACCAAGATGCTGAAAGGCTTCCAAGACGTGCTGGGTGAGTTTTGGTTGAAGGAACTTGGAATTTTTAGGTAGAGAAAGATCAACCTGTGGGACCAAACTCTCTCCAAATATTTGAAGTTATGTCTTGCAGAAGGAGGATTAAACTATTTCTGCTTGGTTCACTGAATTTAAAACAAGATGCAGTGGATAGAAATTGCAAAGAGGCAAATTGAGGCTTTGCGTAAACTAAAGCTTAGCCAAATTTGATGAGCTATCCAAAGGTGCAAAGGACTTCCTTGGAAATAATGGTTTGCCTTCACTAGAGAACTTTGAAGCAAAGGCTTGATTATCCGTTGTTAGTATAGTGTGTTTCTTGATGAGTATGGTTTGGAAAAATGAATAAGATGGTGTATCTGACTTCTTTTAGTTTGCATACTATAGATTAGTATTTGCTCACCAAATATGGCATGTAACATTGTATGTTTTACCTCTGAGACTAAAATGTTTCCGTGAAATTTATTGCCAATAAATACTGTTTCATTGTGATATTTTTAAAATACTATAATTACCTTGAATTTTGTAAGGTTAGATTTAACTGCCACTTCCTCCTGGTCATTCTTTCCTCCTCTGGTTCTTTTGTCTTTTCATTCTCTTTTGCTGAGTCTCTAATCCACCTTTACAACTATTCTTCGAGACTGGCCTGAGCTTTCGGTGGGTTCAATTAATTATCATATTGATGCATATGACTCCCAAATATCTCTCTTGAACTCCAATCCCACCTTTCCAACTCCAAAACAGTACTTGTTGTCTAAGCCTAAACTGACCCTTGACCCTTCTCCAAACCTTGACCTTTTCCATTTTGTCCAGTTTTCCTTCTAATCACTGAGGAAAGTTTCATTGAGGATAATCTTCACCGCTTCTCCAGGGCCTGCTTTGGTCATTATAATCGTAGTGTTCAGTTTTGTTTTTGTGGATTGTTTTTTGTTCTTTACATTTATCCAGTCAATTATGTTTTTTCTGGTTCTGCTTCATTCAGTGTCATTTTGTGGACATTTTGAATTCATGATCATTGTTTCATATGATACTGTATATTCTTTTATATTCCTGCCCCACAGTTTATTTAGCCGTTCACCAGTGAAAATCTTTATTTCTGCTTCTTCCTACTAAAAAAAAATGCTGCCACAAATATTTTGGAAGCATATGGCACCTGTTTTTCTTCATACATGCTCAGCAGTGGAATTTCTGGGTCAAAGCATATAGATGGTTTCGTCACTTTTCTTAGCATAAGTCCAGATTGTTTTCTTGAATGGTGTGACCAACAGTTCCTAGCTCCACTGACAGTAGATCGGTGTGCCTGTCTTTCCAATACCTTCCAACGCTGATGGCTCTCATCATCTTTTCATCCTTTTATTGGTTGTGAAGTAAAACCTCAGTTTTCATTCACTTTTCTCTTATTAGTGATTTGAAGCAGTGTTAATAGATTGTGGAACTGAGTAGAGGGAGGGGTGTGAGTGCGCGCGCGCGCGCGCGTGTGTGTGTGTGTGTGTGTGTGTGTGTGTGTGTGTGTGTACATCATAAACATATGCTCCTGCATTTACTTCTTAACATGTGGCTCTTGGAAGTGCTAACATTTGTTTTACTTGAAAATGCATTTATTAATCATTTAAAATCTTTTCTTTTTCAGATTACACATCTCTTATGATTAATGTGGAGAAAAGAAACTAGCCATGGGCCAAAGTTCAAGAGACCTCCATGGAAAATGTTGCTGCTGATGCTACTTTACAAATTCACATGATGAGTGTCTATTTTGATGATGATTTTCGTATTTAAACGATTTTCATCTTGGAAATATATCAAGTGAAAGAAATTTGTTCCTTTTGGAAACAATTTCCTCATAGTAAACGTTGTAATAAACTTGTAATGGGCGATATGGCCAACAACTCTGTTGCATATAGTGGTGTGAAAAACTCTCTGAAGGAAGCTAATCATGATGGGGATTTTGGAATTACACTTGCTGAATTGCGGGCTCTCATGGAGCTCAGGTCCACAGATGCATTACGTAAAATACAAGAATGCTATGGAGATGTCTATGGAATTTGTGCAAAGTTGAAAACTTCTCCCAATGAAGGTAAAATTTTTATTTGACTTCTTTTGATTAGTCTTTTCTACAGAGGCAATATTTTGTCTTTGGTTCATTAAATTTAAAATGTTTTTTCCTGTTTATCAGAAGGGATTGTGGTTCTGTAAAAATTTTAGTGATTAAAAAGATGTTTGTATAACCCAAGGAATAATATAACCATTCAAGAAGATTAGGATCATTTGATTATTGTTTTAATATATCTTAAATCCTTTTTTTTTTTTGGTATATTCCATATACATAAGATTATTCCCACACATAATATTATACTTTGTTGTCATTTTCCATGTGTTTTTAATGTAGCTAGGTGCAACGGAGAGAGTGCTGGATCTGTAGTCAGGAAAACCTGAGTTCAAATCTAGCCCCAGAAACTTTCTAGGTATATGACCTTGGGCAAGTTACTTAATTTTCATTTGCCACAATTTTCCTCAACTGTAAAATGGGGATAATAGCACCAACCTGCCAGGGTTGTTGTGAGGATCAAATGAGATCATGTTTATAAAGCATTTTGCAGACTTTTTAAAGCAGCTGCAATTATTACTGTTATTGTTGTTGACATAGATTTTTTTTTATTAATGCCTTTTGTTAATTTACGTTTATTCTTAATTTCAAAACCATTTTATGAATTTGTTTTTTGGCCAGCTACCAGTTGTCAAGGTAGCCGACGCCTAAAGGTTTCTTTAGAAATAAGCTACACACCCCTTAGGTTTCATTCTAGTTGATGCCTGAAAATATAAAATAGTGTTAATGTTGTCAGCAGCTGGTTAAGTTACTTTTAGCCGTGGGGTTAGACTAAGCTTAACCTAGGCTTTGAGACTAAAACTTGGCCATTTCCGAAGGAAATTAAATGGGATATATGGTAGTGACTTAACTTTTAACCCTCACAGCTGTTTCCGTAGGTTTATAAAAGCATTTCAGGTCTTAAATAGCCACATGTCCTTGAATCCTCTATATGTGCATAGGGCATCTCTTGATTTCGTAATGTTTTAGTATTAATTTAGTATTTCGTAATGGGAGGGCTAAGAAAAAGGTAAATCCTTTCCTTTGGAATGGTTTCAGAAGTAAGGATCTCTCTGGCTGTTATAAAATGTTTGGGTCCGAAAGTATAGAATCAGAATTTAAGGTATTTGAAAATAGCAAAATAATCACATCAAAGTAGGAGAAATAATAATTTTTAATTAACAATATGAGTCATGAAAAACGGACACTTGTTAATCATAACTTACTATAATAGAGAATATGTTTTAATAAAAACCACTGGAACAGTAATAGTTCACAATTTTTAAAGTTTACAAAGTAATTTCCTTACAAAAAAATCTGATATGCTATAGCTATTGCTAATATAATATGTGCATTTTACAAATGAAGGTATATTAGTTTTCTTCACCAGTTTTATAGAAATTGCCTCCAAAGCAGTATTTGCACTAAACTTACTTGCTAGGCATCACTACCTATCACTTTTCCTAATAGTAAAACAGAAAGTGGTAGCAAAATTTTAGAAAAAAATTGTTGTAAAGTTAATTCAACCAATATGTTTATTAAAAGCTCACTTTAGGAAAAGCATGGTTGGATAAATCACACAGGAAGACCTTTGACAGACTTCTCTGGGTACACTATAGAATTGTTGCTTATAGTTATTTTATTAAGCATTGTTTTATATGGAAGAATTATTCCAAATCATATCAAAATCATAGTTGGGTCTTAAATGAGGCATTAAGAAGGTTGAAACCATTTGGTAAAAACTCTCTTAACTTTTCTGTTCTATACCTTGACACTTTTTTAAAAAAAAAATTACTCATTATTTGTTGTATCAGGAAATAGTTCTCAGTCCTTAGTCTTCTATTTGTCCCTTTGATTTCATTGTTTCCTATCTCTTTGACAATGATTCTTTCTCACATATATCATCGGTCTACACCAGGGGTGGGGAACCTGTGGCCTCAAAGCCACATGTGGCCCTTTGAATCAAAACTTCACCAAACAAATCCTCAAAATAAAAGGATTTGTTCTGTAAAACTTGGACTCAGTCAGAAGATTGCTCCAGAGGACCTAGAAGCCCAACCCCTGGTCTACACCCTTTCCATCTATTTGTAATTATGTTCAGTCCTTCCTTCTCCTTGATATGTTCAATTATTCTCTAAAAAATAAAAGCCTTCTTTCAGTTTTCTCTCTCACCTGCCCAATCTCCTGTCATTCCTCTCCTTCATGACCAAATTAAATGAAAAAGTTGTCTCTACCTACCCCCTCCTTTACTCATCCCTTTATAACCTACCATCTATCTGAACCATTCTTCTTGAAGCTTCTCTGAGATCCCCTGGCCTCATAGCACAGTACAGTGGGTTTTTAAATGTCTTCTTTCCTTAGGCTTCATAGGACCATCAGAATCATCCAACCCAACCCTTTCATTCTACAAATGAAGGAGCTGAGTTGCAGGAGCATTAAGTGATTTGTACAAGTTTATATATCTGAGATGTTGCAGAGCTAGAAACCATATTCATACTCCATGTCCAGTGCCATGGCACAGTGGAAATAGTGCTTTAAATGAATGATCCTAGAATATCCTGCTTTTTTCAGAGCTCACCAGCGCTCATCTTACAATTAGCACAGCCTTTTGGGAAGAGCATTAGATTCTGTGTCAGAATATCTGGGTTTCAGTCCTGAATGACTTCTAGTGCTACACCTGTGAATCCTATGACCTCTAAGTTGAGGTTTTGGGGGGTTTAATAAATCTTCATCCTTATTGAGCTGTGTACCATTTGAAAAAGACCTACAGCTTCCCATATATTCTCTCTCCTCTCTTTACTCTTAGACACTGTGCTCCCCAGTTTCTTTTCCCACCTCTAAAACTGGTATTTTTTGAGTTTACACTCCTTTTCTTCCTGAACCCTTAAGGTCTGAATTCTCTCAAAAGTTCTTTTCTCATTTTCTCTTTATATATTCTTTTCCTTGGCTGTCTCCTTTACTTCCATGGCTTCAGATTAATCTTTTAGTGCGAATAATTGAAAGATCTCTCTCTAGCTCTTCTAAGAGCTTGGTCAAAATTTATCCATACTGTCTCTTTTGTGTGTGTGTGGCAGTCGGGGTTAAGTGACTTGCCCAAGGTCACACAGCTAGTACGTGTCAAGTGTTTGGTCTGAGGCTGGATTTGAACTCAGGTCCTCCTGACTTCAGGGCAGGTGCTCTATCCACTGCGCCACCTAGCTGCCCCCATACTGTCTCTTGTAGCCAACTAAAAATATCTCAACTTGGGTGTTTCATTAGCAACTCACCATGCCCCTGAGTAAGCTTGTCTCTTTCCCCAAATCTCCTCTGTGTTTTTGATAGCCTTATTTATGTATTAACCACTATTCACCATTAAGTGAATGGGAGAAGAGGCAGAGATGAGCTCAAAGGTATGAACATGAAAGATAAGAGTGAATGGCAGTACTGGATACAATTTTCCATCTTTGTAACCTTAACCTTTTCTTTGTCTTTTCCCCATTGTCTCTCCCACAAGCAGTGACTTCGAAGTCTGGTACTAGGAGTACATAGTCTTCGTAGTTTATGTTCTACTGAGGGAAAACCTATACATTTATCAGATGATACAAAATACATGCAGTTAAAAATCCAAATTAGTTTAAGGAATCTGGGAGAGAGCAGTTTTGGGGAATCAAGAGAGACCTTAGTTAAAAGCTGGAAGTGGAGTGGAGTTTTAAGTGAAGTAAAGGATTGGGTAAAGTGGAGAAGTAAAAAGAGCATTCCAGTCATAGGGGAGAGCCTTCCCTCGAGCACGAGCACAGAGATGAGTTCACGGATCTGTGAGTCCAGTTGGATTGGAATATAGAATGTGTGAAGACAGTCTAGAAAGAAAAGGTGGAGCAAGGTTGTAAAGGGCTTCAAATGCCAAACCAAGGAATCTATCCATTCGTCTCTCTCTTTTTGTCCTATAGGCAGTAGGGAACCACTCAGATTTTTTAATCAGGACAATAACATGGCCAAACCTATACTTTATGAATGTCAGTTTGGCAGTTTGGTCCATAGGTGAGGTGATAAGGGTCTGAACTAAGGTTATAGCTATGTGAGTAAAGACACAGAAGGGTACAGGTGCGATAGTTATTAAAGAGGTAGAGTTGAAAATATTTGGTGATCTTTGGCAGTATATGGGATGAGGATAACTCCAAGGTCCTGAAATCAAGGGATGGAAAGGTGATGAGGCCCTCAGACAGAGTTCTTTGGATATGTGTTGAGTTTGAGATGCTTGTGAAACAGCCAGGTAGAGATGTATAGAAGGCAGTTTTCAATGGAGAAGTGGAATGGCCGAGAAATAAGATGCCATCTCTTAACGTGAGGCTTTCCCCCATCCCCATCTTGGAGTTACAGTGAATCTCTCTTGTGTATATTTATTTTTACAACTTGTCTACCCTGATAGAATCTTGGAAGCTGAGAAAAACAAACATTTTGTAAGCACTTAGTAGATGCCAAACACTAAAACCTAGAGATCTCACAAAAGTGAGAAAGTCCTTACCCACATGAAACGGAAGTCCAAGTAATAGGGCAAGCTCAGCTTAGCAGCTGGCTCTCAACCCTCTTCCTGCCAAAGCCTTTTCCTGCTCCAGGTTTCCTAATCCTCTCCCTTTTGAGATTTTCTTCTGTTTATACTTTATACATCCTTTCTGTACCTAGTTTTTTGGATGTTTCTTCCCCCATTAGAATGGGAGCTGCTTGTAAGCAGGAACCTTGGTTTTGTCTTTCTTTATCTCCCAAGTGCTTAGCACAGTGCCTGGCACACAGTAAACATTTAATAAATGCTTGTGGACTAACTGATTTTAACACTTTAGGTTTTCACATTGCCCTGTGCAATGACAAAAGTGGAGACTAGGCCTTGAGAACATCAGGGAATGCTCAGGAATGAGGGGAACCAGATTTTGTCTCTGTCATGAGAGATGGTACAAATGGCAGAGTTCACAGAGTCCAGTGGAAATCCTTTTGTCTTCAAAGTGACACTACTTGACTGA